AAGGTGCATAGAACACTAGACCTGGAGTGAGGAAGACCTGAGTTCAAATCCTGCCTCAGATACAGCTGTGTGATCCTGGGCAAATCACTTAACTCTGGCTGCCTCAGTTTCTTCATCTGTAAAATGGGGATTAATAATAGCACCTATCTCCCAAGGTTGTTATGAGAGTCAGGTAAGATAATATTTGTAAAGCACTTTCTGAACCTTAAAGCATTATAAAATTCTAGCTATTATTATCAATCAGTCAACAAACATTTCTTTCTTTTTTTTTTTTTTGCATTTTATGTTTATTGGTGCCAGGTTTTTTAAACATTACTGGAACTTCGCATTGAATTCCTCTATCTATGCCATTGACTAGAGACAATTGGGTAAGAAATATCTTTTCAGTATTTCCCAGATGCTTTGCAAAAATAATTGCTTACATTTTGGGGGGAATTATGTTGTTGATGATGGTAATGTCCCCCACATCGCAAAGAAGGAGGGAGCTTTGATCATGGATGCCTCTTTCTGAAGCTTAAGATCAAGCTAAGCAAAATTTATAGCCATATTTCCTCTCTCCTTACTTTTTTCCCTTTCTCATAATAGTCTTTTATTTTATTTTTTTAATATAAATTTATTTATTTTTAGTTTTCAATATTCACTTCCACAAGTTTTTGAGTTCCAAATTTCTCACCCCTCCCCCCACCCCAAGATGGCATGCATTCTGAATACCCCTTCCCCTGGTCTGCCTTCTCTTCTATCTCTCCCACCTCCCTTCTCTTATCCCTTTCCCCTTCTATTTTCCTGTAGAGCAGGATAGACTTCTGTACCCATTTCCTGTATTTCTTATTTCCCAGTTGCATGTGAAAAAAATTTTTTTAAACATGTGTTTTTAAAACTTTGAGTTCCAAATTTTCTGCCTTCCTCCCTCCCCACCCACCCTCATTGAAAAGGCAAGCAACTCAATATAGGTTATACATGTGCAGTTATGCAAAACACTTCCTTAGTAGACATGTTATGAAAAACTAACTCTATTTCCCTTAATCCTATCCTGCCCTCCCATTTACTCTATTCTTTCTTTTGACCCTGTCCCTCCTCAGAAGTATTTGCTTCTGATTACCCTCTTTCCCAGTCTGCCCTCCTCTCTATCACCCCCTGCTCTCTTGTCCCCTTCTCCCCCTATTTTCCTGTAGGGTAAGACAGATTTCCATACCCAATTGAATGTGTATGTTATTCTCTCCTTAAGCCAAATCCTATGAGAATAAGATTCCCATTCCCTCTCACCTTCCCCTGTTTCCCCTCCACTGTGAGAGACTTTTCTTTTCTGTTTTTTTTTGTGAGATAATTTACCCCATTCTACCTCTCCCTTTCTTCTTCTTTGAGTATAATCCTCTCTCATCCCTTAATTTTATTCTCCAGATATGACCCCTTAATCTTCAGCACACCCTGTGCCCTCTATCTATCTATATATACATACATACAATTTTTTTCCTTCAACTACCCTAATACTGACAGAGTTCTCATGAGTTACAAATATCATCTTTCCATGCAGGAATGTAAACAGTTCAATCTTAATAAGTCTCTTATGATTCGTCTTTCCTGTTTATCTCTTCATGTTCCACTGGAGTCCTGTATTTGAAAGTCAAATTTTCTGTTTTTCATCAGGAATGCTTGAAAGTCCTGTATTTCACTGAATGACCATTTTTCCCCCTGAAGGATTATACTCAGTTTTGCTGGGTAGGTGATTCTTGGTTGTAATCCTATCTCCTTTGCCCTCCAGAATATTATATTCCATGCCCTGCGGTCCTTTAATGTAGAAGCTGCTAAATCTTGTGTTATCCTGATTTGTGTTTCCACAGTACTTGAATTGTTTCCTTCTGGCAGCTCAACAAACATTTCTTAACCATCTACTGTGTACCAGACACTGTAGAAAGGGCTGGAGATTCAAAAAGAGGCAAAGGATAGTCGCTGCCCTCAAATAGCCTACAGTCTAATGCAGGAAACAACATACCATCTATACAAAGCAAACTATATAGAGGACAAATAGGAAACAATTAATGGATGGAACACACTAGAATTAAGAGGGGTTGGGGAAGGCTTCTGGTTGGAGTGATTACTAGGGTTCTTCAAAGAGTCTTGCTCCAACTCTATCCTGGAGTCCTGGCTTATGCTATACTAGTAACTGCGTCCCCTAGCCCCTGCCCCGACACGGAAAGGGCCACAAAACTCATCTGAGTCCTACTGGTTCCTGCTTCCTAGATCCACCACCCCAGGGGCACCAACAGGGCCCCATATAACTCCCTAGAGTCCTCTCCTTTTTGCTTGAGTACCAGAATATGCAGTTCTTCATCTATAAAATGAGCTGGAGAAAGAAGTGGCAAACCACTTTACCAAGAAAACCCCAAAAAGGGGTCATGAAAAGTCAGACATGAAAATGACTAGACAACAGTAACACCACCCAAGTGTGTATGTAGGGAGCCCATCATGTGAAGAACACGTACATGAAGGGCTGTACCTGCTGGGAACAGGGGACACCCAAGTCTTGATAGTGTCATGGTGCTATTCTGTCTGGACTGTCTTCCCTGCTGGCCTTGTGTGACATGTAGTCTCTGCCAGGCTATACTCCACTGGTCATTGCTAGGTGCTGGTCTGTTTTTCTCACTAGCACTACTGGGAATATGGTTCCTCTTTGCTACCTGGTGTTGGCTTCAGCACACTTCCTCAGAGAAGATGCTTTTTTTTTTCTCTTAAGAGAAGTGGGCTCTTACCAATGCTCTTTTAGCTGAGAACCCAGTGGCTTAAGCGTCAGCTCTTTTGTTGAGAGAGGTGGGCCTTTCCACACCCAGAGTAAAACTAGGAAAGAACCCTTGGTGGCTTTCTCTTTGTAAGGAAAAAGAATATTTTAGTTCCAGAAGTCTTAATTGCGTATCGTTTTTCTTTCTAGAGGGGGAGATAATCTTGCTTTTAGGGTCTTAGCTGTTTTGGAACATGAAATAGCCAGAAGCTAAGTACAGCTGACAGCCATTTAATCTATCTTTGAATCTTTCCTATTTGCTCACTGGGAGCAGTATCTCTGTTCCTGGTTTCTATCTGACTTAACAATTAGAAATTCCTTATAGCTCCCGTTTAATCCCTTTTATGGACCCTGTGGCTAGCCAGATGAAAGCCTGGCTAGATATCACCTTCTACTTCAGTCCTTTGTTCCAATTATTGTTTATTTGTGATGGGTAACAAAACTGTGGCCGTGGGAATTGCAGGAGGGAGGTAGCAAGGGGTGCCACTAAAGAAACCCCAAAAGTACTATATGGATTTGAGGCAACTTGGTTTCTCTCACCCCTAAATTTTCTAGGTTTCTCATGGAAATAAATTGGGAGGGAGATAAGATTCCCACCCCCCCAAGAAAATCCTATTAGACATCATCTTCCGCTTCCATCCTTTATTCTAAATCCTTACTTTTATTGCGTATATGTGGTCAGCGACAAGCCTCCCAGACTTTGGGCCACCCTGCAGGTCCCTTTCCTCGCTCTGACTTATGAATCTTTTTGACTCTGCTTCCTTTAGCTCAGTAACTCTAGCCTGGCTTGGGTGGAGGAATTTGGGGCTTTTCCTGGCTAAAAGATGGGAACTTAGCCAGCAAAAGGCAAGCTCTTCTGTTTCTCTCCTCAATGGGAAACATCTCTGTTGCAAGAGGGTGGCGGCTCCTGCCACGGCAGGGCCAGCTGTGAATCTTCAAACTCCCCCCCCCAGCCCTTAACCCTCTCCCTTCCCCTCCCCCCCTCCTCCTCTTCCTCCCCCTCCTCCTCCTTCCCCTTCCTCCTTCTCTTTTTTTTCCTCCTCCTCCTCCTCTGGCTTTTACCACCTCCTCACATGTTTCCAATTCCCTCCAAAGCCCATTGTCCTCCCTCCCCCCATGTTCTCATTTCCTCTCTCCTCCACGTTGCATGTGGAACTCATTAGGGGGACCAGAGGGGTTTGTAACACAGCCACAATCAGGGGCTGCTCAGGGCTAGACTCAGAGAGGCATATAGGACCCAAGTGGCAGGAGAGGCAGCAAGCCCAACTCACCTATGCCCCAAGATGCAGAAGCTATTGGGAGATGGTGGAGAAGGGCCACCCTTTAGGGGCCTCCCCACCAGCCCCTATCTGAGTTTATAGGGCCCTCACTGAGCCAAGGGAGCTCGAGAGGCCTCCTGGTTGGCAGAGACCGAAGACGACCGGCAGCTGTTGTCTCTCCTTGAAGGCGGGCATGCCAGGCAGCCTCTGCATAGCCAGATAGCGACCCTCCTACATCTGGGGTGGTGGGGGTGGCCAGTCAAAGTCGTAACATCTAATTCTGACTGGCTGAGAACTGGATGATCAGCCCAGGGAAGGCATTTCAGGAAGGATGAGCCTTTCTCACAGGACAATAGGGACCCGTCTTTTCTACCTTTAAGCTTGGCCAGCTAAGGATGGTCCTGGCTTGCCCAGATCCAGAAGGACAGCCTTCCTGAATTCAGTTAAGAAAAAACAAAATCAAGCAAACAATCCATAAGTGTATATTAAGTACCGAATATGCACTAGGTACTGGGCTAGGTTCAGGGGTTATAAATGCAAGAGATGAAATAATCCCTGCTCCCAAGGTGCTTATATTCTATAAAGACCCTATTGAGTGCCAAACACTATCTGCTAGGCACTTGGGATTCACAACCCCTGCCTTCAAAAAGCTTATGGTCTAAGAGAGGAATTTGCTATGTATGCAAATAAGATATAATGGTAATAATAATTTATGTATATTGTGTATATGTATACATATACATACATATACCCACATATTTAACTCTGTGAAGTAATTAAGATTCAACTCGAAGGGGCAAGACAGAGACAAATTGCTCCAAGCCAGGGATGTCCAAACTCAAACAGAAAAAGGGGATCCCTGGGAGTCACAGATTGACTTAGAAAGTCACAAATTAACATTATCTGTATTGCATTGTATTTTTATTTATTCTTTTGAAGTTTCCCAACTACATTTTAATCTTTCTGGCTGCACTTGTGGGGTTTTGTGGATGTGGTCACTCTGCTTTGATACCCAGGCACACAATTTGAGGTGGAGAAAGGATCAGGACTTCATGGAGGAGGTGGCCCCTGACCTAGGCCTTGAATGAAGAGAAGGATAGCAATAGTTTGAGAGATGAAAGCGTGGGCATTCCAGGTATTGGAGGGTAACAGTTGCTGGGGAAACCTGAACCAAGACATTGAGGCAGGAGAGGGCAGGATGAGTCTAGGAAATGGTCCAGTTTGTCTGGAAAGTGGATTTTGTGAAGGAGATTAGTGTGATATATGATTGGAAGGATAGGCTGGAGCAGATTCAGGAGGGTATAAGTATGTTACCCTATAGGTAATGGGGAATCACTGCTGGTTCTTAGGTAAAGGAGGGCCATGGTCAGACTTATCATTAAGAAGTATATCTGGGCATTTGTGTGAAGGGTAGCTTAAAGCAGGGGTCCTTTTTAAAAATTAATTTTGCTTATTCAGTTTAACATACACCTTCTCTATCTCCTACCTCCTCCACCCCAATCACCAATTGAGAAAGCTAGAAAAACAAAATCCCCTGTTACAAATGTGTAGTCAGACAAAACAAATTCTCAAATTAGCTGTGCCCTCCCCCCCCAAAAAAAAGTCTCGATCTTCACTCTGAGTCAGTTATCTACTCTCAGGAGGTAGGTAGCTGATTTTGTTATGAGTCCTTTAAAATCAGGGTTGGTCATTGTTGATTAGAGTTTATAAGACTTTAAAAATGGATTGTCTTTATTGTATAAATTGATTTTCTGGTTTTACTCATTTCACTTTGCATCAGTTCACATAAGTCTTCCCATACCTTTCATCATTTCTTACTCCACAATAGTATTCTATAACATTCACATACCATAACTTATTCAGCTGTTCCCCAATTGATGGGCATCCCTTCAGTTTCCAATTCTTTGCCACCATGCAAAGAGCTGCTATAAATATTTGTCTACATATGAGTCCTTTTCCTCTTTCTTTGATCTCTTTGGCATATACCCCTGGTAGTGATGTCACTGGGTCAAAGGGTATACACATTTTAATAGCTTTTAAAGCATTGCTCTGTAGAATGTCTAGACTAGTTCACGGCTCTGCCAGCGGTGCATTGAAGTGTCTTTTTTTCCCATGACCATTCCAGCATTTCTGATTTTCCTTTTTTCTTAATTTTGCCGATTGATGGGTATGAGGTGGAACCTTGGAATTGTTTTAATTTGCATTTCTCCAATCATTAATGATTTAGAGCATTTTTATATGGTTATTGATAGCTTGGGATTTCTTCCCCTGAAAAAATGCCTGTTAGTATCTTTTGACCATTTATCAGTTGGGAAATGACTCTTACAAACTGAATCAGTCCTCTATATATCTTAGAAATTAGATCTTTATTGGAAAAATTTGCTGCAAAGATTTTCCCCCCCACTTACCTGCTTCTCTTCTAATTTTAGCTGCATTGGTTTTCTTTGTGCAAAAAACTTATGTCAAGTAATTTCTTCCTGGTTCCTTTATTTTGTTTATAATGTCACCCTTTACACCTAAATCATGTACCCATTTGAGCCTTTTTTTTGTACAGTATGAAATGTTGTTCCATACATAGTTCCTATTAGACTGCTTTCCAGTTTTCCCAACAATGTTTGTCAAATAGTATTTACTTCAGTTGCTGGTATCTTTGGGTTTGTCAAACACTAGGCTACTGTACTCATTTGCTTCTGTATTTTAAGTACCTAGCCTGTTCCATTGATCAACCTCTCTATTTCTTTTTTTAATTCAATTTTATTTTGTTCCAAATTCTCTCCCTCTTCCCTCAACCACTCCCACCCTTTGAGAAAGCAAGAAAAATAAAACCTATTACAATTTTGTACAGACACTCGAAACAAACTTCCACATTAGCCATGTTCCCCAAGGGGGAAAGAAAGTAAGAAAAAGAAGAAAATAAGCTCCCATCAAGACTCAGAGTCTATCAGTTCTCTATCTGGAGGTAGGAGATAGGTTTCATCATCGAGTTCTTTGGAGTTGTGGTGGGTTGTTGTGTTGATCAGAGCTGCTAAGTCTTTCCGAGTTGATTAACTTTGCGATATTGCTGTTAAATTGTTCTCCTGGTTCTGCTCACTTCACTGTGCAGTAGTTCATACAAGAATCTCCAGGTTTTTCTGAAACCGTGTCCTTCATCATTTCTTACAGCACCATGGTATTCCATTACATTCATATACCATAACTTGTTTAGCTATTCCCAAACTGACGGACATCCCCTCAGTTTCCAATTCTTTGCTACCACAAAAAGATCTGCTATGTGCGTATATATACACACATGCTATGTATGTATGTATGTATGTATGTATGTATGTATGTATGTATGTATATGTGTGTGCCCTTTTTCTCTTTGATTTCTTTAGGTACAGACCTAGTATGGGTCGAAGGGTACGTACAATTTAATAACTTTTGGGGGTTAGTTCCATAATGCTTTCTAGAATGGTTGGACTAGTTCACAGCTTCACCAACAGTGCAGTAATGTACCTGTTTTCTCACATCCCCTCCAGCATTTGTCATTTTCTACTTTGTCATCTTAGCCAATATGATAAGTAGGAGGGTGGTACCTCAGCATGGTTTAACTTGCATTTCTCTAATGAATAGTGATTTAGAGCATTTTTTTCATGTTGCTATTAATAGTTTCTTTCCTCTTTCAATTTCTTCCTCTGAAAACTGCCTGTTCATATCCTTTGACTACTTATCAATTGGGAAATGACTCCTATTTTTGTAAATTTGATTCATTTCCCTAGATGTTTTTAAAAATGAGATCATAATCAGAGAAACTTGCTACAAAGAGCCCCCCCCCCCAGTTTCCTGCTTTTCTTCCAATTTTAGCTGCATTGGTTTTGTTTGTGCAAAAACTTTTTGATTTTAAGTAATCAAAATTACCCTTTTTAATTCTTGTGAACTTCTCTATCTCTTGTTTGGTCATAAAATCTTCCCAAATCCATACATCTGACAGGGAATCTATTTCATGCTCCACTAATTTGCTTATGATGTTGCCCTTTATGTCTAAATCATGTGCCCATTTTGAACTTATCTTGGTATGTGGTATGAGATGTTGGTCTTTGCCTAGTTGCTACCATACCATCTTCCAGTTTTCCCAACAGTTTTTGTCAAATTGTGAGTTTTTGCCCCAAAAGCTTGGATCTTTGGGTTTATCAAATCCTAGGCTACAGTACTTATTTGCATGTGGAACCCATTAGGGAGATCAGAGGGGTTTTTAACAAAGCCACAACCAGGGGCTGCTCAAGGCTAGACTCAGAGAGGCTTGTAGGACCCTAGTGGGTGTACCTAATCTGTTCCACTGATCAACCTCTCTCCTGGTAACAAATTGTTTTGATGATTACACCTTTGTAGTATAGTCTCCAACCTGCTATTACTAGGCCCCCTTCCTTTCCATTTTTTTTTCATTGATTCCCTTGATATTCTTGGCCTTTTGTTCCTCCAGAGGATTTATAATATTTTTCCTAGTTCTATGAAGTAATTCTTTGGTAATCCAATTAATATAGCACTGAATAAGTAAATTAATTTAGGTAATATTATCATTTTATTATAATAGCTTGGCCTCCCCATGAGCTATTAATATTCCTCCAGTTATTTAGATCTGCTCTTATTTTTATAAAAAGCGTTTTGTAATTGTGACCATATCCTGTGAATATCTTGGTAAGTAGATTCCAAAGTATTTTATACTATTTGTAGTTAGTAGAATTTCCCTTTCTATCTCTTCCTGCTGGTTTTTGTTGGTAGTAATATGTACAGAAATGTGATGATCTATGTGGATTTATTTTATGTCCTGCAACTTTGCTGAAGTTGTTAATTGTTTTGATTAGTTTTTAAATTGACTCTTTAGGATTCTCTAAGTCTGCAAAGAATGATAGTTTTGTTTCCTTATTTTTGCCTATGCTTACACTTTGCTTTCTATTTCCTAACCAGTATCTAATTGTTTTGATGATTACTACTTGAGATCTGGGACTGCTGGGGCCTTTTCCATTCCACTGTTTTTCATTATTTCCCTTGAGATCCTTGACCTTTTGTTCCTCCAGATGAATTTTGTTATGATTTTTTCTAGTTTCATAAAGTAATTCTTTCATAATATGATTAGTATGATACTGAATAAGCAAATTAATTTAAGTCTGTTTTCATTTTTATTATATTGGCCTGGCCTATCCACGAACTATTAATATTTCTCCAGTTATTTACCTCTGTATTTGTCTGAAAAAATGTTTTATAATTGTGTTCATAAAGATCCCGTGTGTGTATATGTATGTCCTGGCAGGTAGAACTCCCAATATTTCCTAATGTCTGCAATTCATTTAAATGAGATTTCTCTTTCTCTTTCTGCTGGATTTTGTTGGTAATATACAGAAATACTGATGATTTGTGAGTTTATTACATATCCTGCAACTTTGCTAAAGTTGTTAATTGTTTCAATTAACTTTTTAGTGAACTCTCTAGGATTCTCTATATAAACCATCACATCACCTGCAAAAGTAATGGTTTTGTATCCTCTTTGACCATGTTTATTCCTTCAATTTCTTTTTCTTGTCTTTTTGCTGTAGTTAGCATTTCTAACACTGCATTGAATAGCAATGGTGATAATGCATGTCCTTGCTTTAGCCCTGGAAAGTCCTCTTATTTATCCCCATTACAGATAAGAATGGGTTTCTTAACTTCTTGTGTCCTGGACTCCCTCACCAAGCCTGTGGACCCCTTCTCAGAATAATGGTGTGTTGCCTATACTTATAATTGAAGGAAATGCTAAATTTCAGTTAGAGGTTAGTGAAAGAAAGATGTATTTCTTTGTCTATTCAAGTTCATGGACCCCCCTGAAATCTATCTTCAGGTTAAGAGCCCTTGGATTAGAGAGAGGAGAGACCAAAGGGGAGTCGGGTTAGGAGACTACTACAGTAGCCAAGGCAGCAGATAATGAGAGCTGAACTAGGATGGTGTCAGTGTGAGTGGACAGGGACCGATAAGAAAGATGTTGTCCATGTAAAATTAACAGGATTAAGCAACTGATTAGATATGGGGGATAAAGGAAAGAGAAGGGTCAGGGATGACTCTGAGT